ATACGGGAAGCGCGTCTAGGGTAACGGCTGGCGGTTTGCGCAGCTATGCGGTCGGCCGGTCGCGCGGACAGCCGTCCCTATGCCGTGGTCGGGATCGTGGGGCGGAAATTTACCGGATGGTTGGACACTGGGGCATCAGTGCGCCTACTGGGTGCTGGTGCCGTGAAAGCAGTACAAGACCTAGGGCTGGTGGTACACGAAAGCAGATCCGCTGCGAAAACGGCTGGAGGCGCGCCGCATCGCATCATTGGCAGCGTGAAGGCTCGCGTGCGGTATAATGGAACGGAAGTAGACATGGAATTCCACGTCTGCCCATCATTATGCAAACCGCTTTATATGCGCGTAGATTTTTGGCGCATGTTCAGCTTAGCTCCGGATGTGATACCGGCTGAAGGCGAGGGACGTCACGTGGCGACTGAGCCGCATGAGTTAGAGGTGGGGCAACAGGAGGAACTACAGCGAGTCGTGGTCCAATTCAGGTCCTTCGAGGAGCACGGTCTGGATAGGACACCAGTGCAGCAGCACCACATACAGTTGACGGAGGGCGCACTACCAGTAAAAGAGCTTTTATCCAGTGTCGCCGGCAGTGTAGGCGCTATTATTTGCAGGAGTCGACGAGATTCTTCTGCTACGGGTGATTGAGCCGAGTGAGAGTCCATGGAGCAACTGAGTGACTTTGGTGAGGAAGCCTGGAAAGAATCGGTTGTGCTTAGACGCGAGAAAACTAAATCAGCTCACGGTAAAGGATGCTTACCCACTCCAGAGCATTGAGTCGATTTTGAGCCGAGTGGAGGACACGGTTTACATCAGCAGCCTAGATTTGAAGCATGCGTTTTGGCAGATCGAGCTAGATCGGGAGAGCCGGCAGTACACCGCGTTTACAGTGCCGGGAAGGCCACTGTACCAATTTAAGGCCATGCCGTTTGGGCTGTGCAATGCGGCGCAGCGCCTCTGCAGCGTGATGGATAAGGTGATTCCCCAGTGTTTGAGAAACCATGTCTTCGTCTACCTGGACGACCTTCTCATCATATCCAGAACATTTTCCGAGCATTGCAAGGTGCTGCTGGACGTGGCGAGTGCCTCAATGTAGCGAACTTGACGATCTCCTTGGCAGCTCCGCCGATTCTTGGGGACCGCGGGTTGGTATAGGCGCTTCATCTGGAATTTTTCCACTATTTCCGCGCCGTTGACAGACTGAAAGGAAAAGGGAAGTTTCAATTTACGGGCGAAGCGGCTGAGGCATTTCAGGAATTGAAGAGGGCACTAACCTGTGCGCCGGTGTTGGTGCATCCAGACTTTCGGAAGCCGTTCGTGATCCAGTGCGACGCGAGCCATGCGGGCGTAGGAGCTGTGTTGTTCCAGCACGGTGCAGATGGTGCGGAAAGGCCAATAGCATTTTTTTCGGCGAAGTATCGAGAAGGAGAAGGAGTGCCTGGCTGCGGTGAAATCGGTCGAGAGGTTCCGGCCGTATGTGGAATTGATGCCGTTTAAAGTGATGACTGATCACGCCAGCCTGCGGTGGCTGATGTCGTTGAAGGACTTGGACGGCCAATTAGCGCGGTGGTCGTTGGCCCTGCAAAGGTTCGACTTTAGTATTGAGCATCGGAAAGGCAAGGACAATATTGTAGCCGATACACTCTCGCGACCTTTCGAACTGGAGGAAGTTGATTTTTTTGATTTCGAGACAACCGAGTTCGAAAGTGCGGAGTATACTGAGCGGCTTAAGCAAGTGCGGGAGAACGCGGAGCTATTTCCGGATTTACGCGTGGAGGATGGGCTGCTGTATAAGCGGGCGCAGTTCACGCGGCCTGAGCGAGGGGAATTTTCCTGGAAGCTCTGGGTACCGCGTCCTGTGTCCGCAGCCCTTATACAACAGGCCCACGAGAGCGACGCGGCCATGCATGGGGCATGAAGACAATGGTGGAACGGCTCAAACAGTTTTTCTCCTGGCCCGGGATGGTGGCGCAGGTGAAAATATACGTGGCCGGTTGTGAAACTTGCAAAGCGACGAAACACAGCACGCAAGTTGCGAGGCCAGTAATGGGTGTCGAAACCATGTCGCTCCGGCCAATGCACAGGCTGTATCTAGATTTTCTGGGGCCGTATCCGTCCATGAGAGGAAATACCACAATTCCAGTAGTTCTGAACCATATGTCCAAATTCGTGTGGCTACAAGCAATGCCAAAAGCAACTGCAGCGGCAGTGGTCCGGTTTTTACAAGAGGAGGTATTTTCTGCATTTGGAGTCCCTGAGACCATACAGACAATGGGAAGCAGTTTGTGTCCAGCCAGTTTACGGGGTTCCTCCAGAGGCTGAACACGTGAACCAGCCGGTGTTAGCGGCCATCAGGACCTATGAGCAAGACGACCACACGAAGTGGTCACCAGCGAGAAGGACTACAATCTGGGACGCAAGCTGGGAGTCCTGGAGAATGCCAAATTGCGCGTATTGCCCAGGCCAGATCAGCACCAGGTGGTGCGTAATGAAGTCCAGCAGAGTATGCGGCTAGCGTATGCAAAGGCAAAACGGCAATACGACAGACGAGCAAGGAGTGTTACCGGCGATTTAAAGACAACATAAACGCGAAGCTATGCCCCAAATATGTAAAATGCCGTATCAGGAGCAGCTTGGGCAACAGCCTATATGAATTGGAGGACATACATTGACACAAAATAAAACCGGTGTGTGTTGTTATGTGCGACGTGGCAGTATTGGGAAACATAAAATGGCGTCGGACGGAGGGGATGGCAACTCGCGCAATTAGCAGCTAGCTCCGGCCGATACCAACACCTAGTACTCTTGCGAGAGTGGCGTGGCCAAGTGCTACCAATTGTATTATAGAAATCGATATTGGGTAGCATCGGGGATAATTGAAATTATCGGTTCCATCAAGAGTAGCAGGCCGTGCCATTTGTCAAGGGCAAGAGAAAAAATGAAACTGAGAGTGTCACGTAAAAAAATTTAAGTCGCGAAAATTTATGAAATGATTCGGTAACCGTGGGTGAATGACCATAGTTTTGCCACATTTGCCATTCCGCCAAGTTTTAATTTCGCAACAATCGCCACTCCACTCCACTCCACGGCACAGTCTCCACACACGGGTGAAACAGCCACGAACTTTTGAGGGATCGACTGGGTGTTCATCCCGCCTCGAGCACCCCACTTCGAAAGACTGTGGGAAGCAGCAGTGAAGGCCGCCAAGAATCGCCTTCTACGAGGAGTCGGCAACGCCAATATGACGCAGGCAGAACTAAACACACATCTGGTGGAGGTAGAGGCTCTACTCAACTCCAGGAAAAAATTGTGTATCCACTCACCGTGCATACGTATTCGTGATATTTTACAGCCAATCGCGACACATGCACATCTCTAGTATCTCAGCTGATCGCATATTTACAAGCGATTTACCATTTGTGTTAAACGGTTGCGTCAGGTAACAACACTACAAATGGATTCTGAAGAACTCTGGGAGACATTAAGCGTTAAGCTTATTCCGTGAACGTATTCTTGCGATTTACAAAAGCAGAAACACTCCTTTTACACTCACAACAATCATATTCAAAATACACATATGGATAAGTGTTGAAGTGTACAATTGAATACATACACACATATATGTGTGTATATGTTTGTACATATGACGATAGATAGCGCCTGCATCAAAAAATAAAAAGCACATATGTATGTATGTACATATCAGCGTTGCCAGACGTCCCGATTTTGGCGGAACATCCCGATTTTTAAATCAAAATTAAATATACCACGCGGGACAGGCTCAGTCCCACTCTTCGGGAATAACTCGACCATGCGTGCAGCGTGCTGAGGAATTTCGGACGAGTTGCACTTATAAGTGAGGACTGTATGTATGTCGGTGTTAAATTTTACAGTGCTTAATTCTAGAAATCTATATATTTATGCATGTGTATATATGTATGCGTGTATTTTATGTATATACAGGTTTATATATGTATGTATGTACATACATACATATATGTATGTAAAACCGTTTGTATAATATATCTGTTTTTCCAACCCATTTTTTTGCATTGGGACTTTATTGGTGCACGAAAAAAATTTTATGTATTTATGTACATACATACAAGGGCATGGGCAGCTTTTACCAATGGAGGGCCCAAAAAATTAAAATTTTGATTAAATAATGCACGATGCATTTAAAAAATAATTTATGCATATGATCAATGAAAAAACTTCGACAAATCCAACTCAGGTCCATTTTAAGAAGTAGTGCGTCATTATAATGAACGTGTGGTCGACTTTATATGGCAAAATTTTTTGGCCCCCCCACCTACATATGTATGCCCTTTGTGTTAATGCTAGTGTTTTAAGTATACAACTAGTAATTTGCTAATTTAATAATATTTACATAGGATATGCAAAATATTTTTGATGCAGATTGTTCAGGAAAACTAAAAGGTTTATTCCAATGATTTTTTTATGACGAAAAATGTCTTTGTTAGTTCTTTTAATCAAAATCCTGGAGAAACAAACGATTTGAAACATCCCAAAAGAGATTTCTGTGACCCCGATAATTTTGAGGCGAAACATGGGCGAAAGAGATTTCTGTGGCATCTCATAACAAATTTACCCCCTGCCCACAGGGTATTTAAGAGTTGAGCCCTTTGGACTTTAGCAGTCCTTTCTTGTTTACATATGTATGATGTTCAGGCAGCACTGCCTGTCACGAACAGCCGCAAGATAGAAACATATCCATTCTTCGCGAACAAAACGTCGAAGACTTAAATTTAGCTCGAACATCTCCACAGACGTACAACAAAAAATTCTGGCAACAAATTCGACTGTGGATTTCCTGCTTAACACGAGCATCTTTGTCTATGAAAAGCTCGTTTTTTTTAAAATCGATGCATCGATATTTTTTTGATGCATCGATATTTTTTCTATTTGTTGAAAGAGACATCGATGTTTGGCTTTGACTTACATCCCTACTATTGAGCCAGGCGAGTGGCAGTATTAAGTGGGTGCGGATTTTTATCTTCTGGGTGTTCGCAGGTTTTATTTTTGAGATTCCAAAAATTAGCATTTTACAGCTACTTTAGAGGACCATTTTAAAATAAATTACGTTTACAATTTCAGCACACCAAAGAAAGTCTTTCACTCCCAACAAATATGTATGGAATAACGCGATTGGCATCGATTTTGGCAAAAAATTCTGATTCAATGGTACGTAGGTAGTATCAGACGAAAGCCTATACTCCATATTTTCATGTATATGTAAATATGTTTAAAAGAAAAGTTTCCCCAATGATATATAAATAAGAGCATCTGACGTGTGTTTGTATACATAAGAAATTTCCAACCTTGCTTTATTCCGAAATTGTTTCGTTATGTAATTTTTTAGTTGTTCAAGAAATTGTATAAATCGGTATATTAAAGGCTAATATTTAATTTCTCATCACTATATCGGCGGATTCTCCATGGAACTATAAATTCATCTGCACAGGGCATAATTTTAAATCGTCCGCATGCATCGAAAAGCAATTTTTATACTCTGAATATATTAGGTTTGCAGGAGGTGAAAAGTGTAACAGGCAGAAGGAGTCGTGGCAGTCCCCACAAAGTATATGTATGTATATATTCTTGATCAGCATAACAAGACAATTTGATCTAGACCTCTCTGTCCGTCCTTTCGTCTGTATGAACACCAAGATCTCAGAGACTATAAGAGATGACACCAAATGTTGCACAAAGATGCCCTACGCGTGTACGCTATACGAGTTTGTTTTATTTTCGGAAACGCCGTATAATCACGTTTATGTATCTCGCGGAGTCTATGAGATCTAGGGACACCAAAATAATTTTCCACAACTAATTTTCTTTCCCGTAATTCTTTTTACTGAAATTGATCAAATACCTTCATTTAGTGATTATGAGTCCGTAGCTAAGTCATCATGATAGGCCGATTTTACACGAAGTTATAGCCATATATGTACATATGTTCTCTCTGCTCAAGCGCTGCCCTCAGCTATTGTTGCTGCTTTGACTTATTACTGTACTGCACACAAACACGCAAATAAACAAGCATAGACACGATTCTGACTTAAATGAATGCTTTTGAAACTATTCACCGCAATACACGATTTTCCATAACTCCCACAGTTCTTGGAATTTCAAACTTCAATTTTTATTTACATCCAGGTAGTGATTTATTTATTTCATCGTCAAACAATTCTGTCGATGTAAAAAAGTAAAAACATCAATACAATAGAAAACTTAACTAAATAAAACTAAACAAATAAAAAATTTTATAAAAAAGACGAAAATATCTAATATCGAATCTGATTCGGTGGACAGCCAGCTATGAAGCTAAGAAGTGAAGATGAATAGCAAAAAAGAGCAATAAAAAATAAAAGAAATCAATTTAAAATTAAAATACTTAAATAATAAAAGATAAAATACTGACCCGTTGAGGGAACATTTATTAGCCAGGCCGACAAGATATGCCTCTACTTACATCAGTGGTGATAAGTGATTCTGCCGAAGGTAGTAGCTGAAAATAGAAGATTTTAGTATGGCGAGAGAGCTCACCTGAGATTAAAAAGTAAAAATAATCATAATGGCATGTAGTACATCTGTTAAGTAGAAGAGGCAGAAAATTCCTTGTTGGCCTGGAAGGAACACAAAAATTAATACTTCCTAAAAACATAGAGGAATCTCCGACAATCAATTTGTGGAGGAACAGAACACCAAGAACTATCCTACGGTGAGCTAACGAAGGCAGGTTAATAAGGAGAAGTCTAATAGATTATGATGGTAGTCGCAGATTAGGATCCCAGTTAAGACCACGAAGAGCAAAAAGAAGAAATTGTTTCTGGACACCAAACACGTGAGTAATATTGTAGCCCTGCACATTGGGCCAGACAACCGATTTTTTGGCATAAATTCGACCACTCCTACCACCCATATATGACACAGATGTTGCCACTTGTTTTTCAACTAATGTGTATTCGTGTATTAGTAATTTACTAAATATCGCTATTATTTATGTTTATGCTTTGACTTACAAATAATTCAACAAATTGGATGCAAAACTCATGCCAAGATTTAAATATTGCCATTTTGCATTGTGTGCTCGCCCCACAGATAGGTTCGCATATTTCTAACACATTTAGGTAAATTCCTTCGGATGTAAATATCAAAGTGTATTATTTTTATAACAATTTCATTTTTTTCTTTTGGCTTAAACTATATTTCTTTAGTTGCATAAATATTCAGCTGGAAATCGCGTCACCTTCCAAGTATTGAGCAATGTTGGATGCAGAATTTAACCTCAGCTACAAAATAAAAGAATATTTAACATAAGTTAATATAGATATTCAACTTTAGTTTGGCAATATTACTTTTTCGCAGAAAATTGCAAAAAGTATTTTTTCAATCCACAATAGACGGGCACTTTGGATAAGTTTTATACAAATACTAGCAGGTCTTGCCCGTTTTTGCTGGCTAAGTATTTGTGCTTACAATTATACGTTTATTTACTATATGATATATCTCTTCCGACACTCTCTAAAATTTCTAAAGAGTTAATTTCTAGAATTGCACTGTAAAATTTAACAACGACATACATACAGTCCTCACGTTTAAGTGCAACTTGTCCGAAACTCCTCAGCACGCTGCACGAGTTATTCCCGAAAATCGGGACTGACCCACAGTGGTTCCTCTTACATGGGAAGGCGGTCATAAATATTTCTCGTTGACATATCGTTATGAAATTTTTACCAAAATTCTAGAAAAATATTCTGAACTTAAAATAAAAAAAATGGGCCATATCGGATAACTATATCCTATAGCTCCTATAGGAACGATTTGGCCAAATTTAAAGAACATTGTTATTTTCGTTGTTCAACTTTTTTATTTTAATAAAATTAATATTAATATTTTGAGGAAAAGGGGCGTGGTTTTTTAGCATGCCCACATAAAGTTAATAATTTGATGAATTATATTAATATATAAATAAAAAACACAAAAACTTAAAAAAATATTATGACATGCTATTATATTTGTATTTTATCTAATAGATCATATGCTGACTTTAATAATAATGACTTTTTTGTACATGGGAGTTATCTTTGGCCAGAAAGAAATGGATCTGAGCTTAGAAGCAATCTATTTATGAAATCCTTCTGAACAGTCTAATGTCCTTATTTTTTGACTCTGCAGCTTCTTCAGATAACTCCCCGATTGACAAAAGTGCATGATTTATAATGTCCGGGGAATGAACCAAAACTTTGTGTAGTGAGGGTGGTAGATAGTACCAGGGATATAAATTTATAAGCTCTTTAGCAGTGTCAAGTGGAAATTCGCCAAATTTGTCTACATTTATCTTGTAACCAGATGCCATACATTGCAGCAATGTTGCACATGTTCATTAATTCCTGTTATTTCAGCTGCCATTTGCGGGTTATTGAAAAGTACTCTGGCCGTATTGTGATCATTTGAAGCGCCACTTCCTCCACTTCCGGGTTTGTCCACCAAAAGACCCATTTTTATACGAAAATCTTGTTGTATTTTGGCTTTCCTGTGCAACAGGGCTTCTTTGCCTTCTGCGGTATTAGTTCGCAAACTTTTTAGTTCTAGTCTGTACCAGACATGCAAAAAATATTCAAAAAATCGAATATATGAATGTAGTGGCGATAATCCAAACTCAAAGCGTGCTTCATGAACCTTCTTTCTCAAGCACTTTTCCAAATTGTTCATCTCTGTTGGATTCGCTTCACATATGTAGCACTTAGAAGATGATGTTTTACTACGAGAACTACAGATTTTGCCATCCACCATAGTTAACTGCAAACAAATTTTAATTTCAATTTGTTTTGCCGATACTGAACATTTTGTTGGCTGTAACAGCTCCATTTTATCTTTCAAATAGTTCTCCTCATTTACAGCTAACTGAGCAGTTTCTTTGTTAAATTGAAATCTTAGAGGTCGGCAGTAACGTGTCGATGAAGGTCGCGGATTTTTCCAAAGTATCTTGCGGTGCTTAGGATCATCTGCTATTGTTTAAAGTTGCAATGGCACGTATGATGTTACAAAAAGATTGGAATCATTCATATCATTATTGATGACTCTGCTTACATTCTGAATATCCGGAGCTGCCGTCAAACCCCCATTTTCCAATTAGAACTAGGTTCTCACCGAAATCACCTGCAATGTTGTCAAGAACATCACGCTGAAGTTTTATAATCCGCGACGCCGTATTATCAAGCAAGTTCTGCAGCTCCACTTCAGCTTGTGATTCACTCACACTGATTTTTGTAGCTTTGTAGCATTTGCTAAAAGTTCGAAGGACGTTTTAGAATTTATAAAGCTTCGTATTAGCAAATATTGATGTTTGACTTCGTCGACGTCAGCTTTGATGAACATTTGCTTTATTGGAATGTTGCACGATCGTAAAGCAGAAGCGCAGATTCGTTGCTTTTTGACAGCTCAATTCTTCGTCGCTTTGTTCTGTTGGAAGACTCACAAAAATCACCTTTCGTGCGTCCACGCTTTGCACTTTTACCCATTCTTTGAGGTATACTCTCCGTGCGTTTTATTGAAATATTTTCCTTTGCATTTAGCCAATTAGATTTTTTTTTGAAGTATGGTTGCTTTCTTACGTTTATACTGAATCCAAAATGCTGCAATTTTGCACACTGATAAGAGTCGCCTTTTAAAACCAAATTGTAAAAAAAGCATTAGAAACTATAATTTTAACTTAAGTACACAAAACACGAAAGACGTAAACACAGACAACGCACAAACACAAGGCAAAGCAACCGCTTCGCAAGAAAATTTGACCTTGGAAAAAAAAGACGGCGTTAGTATATTGTTGTGATTATAAACACCTCTACTAAATCATCAATTTTAAAATAACTACAACACAAGACATTTTTCTTAATATACGAATTTAAAATAAATACCTTTAACTTTGAAATCCATTAAAACTAACTTAAATTCGCTCTTGTTGTGAAAAATACTTCCAGCATGCAGCTGCGCTTTAAAAATGAACACGTGTTCACATCTTCAATGCTATTTTTATAGCCTGTACCCAAAGGGTGAAAAGCTATACTAGTTTTGTGCGCATGTATGTAACACACAGAAGGAGGCGTGGCAGACCCCACAAAGTATATATATTATTGATCAGGATGGCAAGACGAGTCGATATAGCCATGTCCGTCTGT